ACTTCGCCTGAGGATCAAGTAGCACCGGCGCTGATGAGGTATAAAGTTACAGATGTCACATAAGGGATTATCTACAATTTTGAGGTTCAGGCTAAAAGTTGTTAATGTCAGTACTATGTTCACTAAGGGAAGTAAACTGTTCATTATTTTGTGTTAAGGCCACATTGTCTATATCAATTTTTTTCTCTCATTGTCAGGTGTTTAAGAGACACTGTTAAGCGTAAAGCTTTGTTTTTGTTTGCAAATCAACAGAATACTGTCTTTTTTTATTCATCTTTTTCAAGAATCACACTCTGTTTAAAAGGATACTGCTTTTTGGAAAACGCAATGGGACAATGACCTATGGTTTTCAAATGGATCAGAAAGATCGGCAGGAGTTATTACTTTTAAGAACAAATTTAATGGAGGGGGTAACTCTAGCCGGACAAAAACATCTTATTGGATTATTTGCTGATGATGTCATTGTTTTTTTACGAGATCCTGACAAGTGTTTGATGCAACTATTCCATACCTTCGAACACTTATTGGGCTACAAAATTAATGTATCCAAAACACAAATTCTATCATTCAACTATACACCTTCTCAAAAGATTAGAGATGAATATAAACTAAAGTGGCACTTGAATACCATGAAATATTTGGGCATAACCTTGACAAAATCATTATCTGCTATGTTTGACACAAACTACAATCAGGTGGAGGGTAACAAAAGAGACTTAGAACGGTGGTCAACAATACCTACAAATTTTTTACTCTAGAATCCAAATAATAAAGATGAACGTTCTCCCAAGATTGCTTTACATGTTTCAATCACTCCCACTTTCTATACCTCAAAGTAAATTTAAAATATGGGATAAGATGATGTCAAGGTTTATATGGGATGGGAAGAAGCCCAGAACAAGGTTAACAACATTTCAACTCCCGAAGTGTAAGGGAGGGATGGCTTTGCCTAACCTAAGGGAATACTTTTACGCAGCCCAATTTAGACCTCTTGTTTGTTGGTGTAGACCAGATTATGAGGCACGGTGGAAGGAAATTGAGAAAGAAAATGAGGGAAACAAAATTCAAATTTTTATCTCTGACAAACAATGACCTCTTACAAAAGTAGAATGAATCAAATTGTGAAATTTACATTAGACACACAGTAATAGAAAAACATCAGTTAAAAGAACAATTATTTTTGCTGAGATGGTTTAGACACGAAAAAAAAATTAAGCCGGGACAATTGGACCAAACATTCAAACGATGGGAGTTAAAAGGGATTACAGCAGTTTTTACTCTAATGAAAAATGGAACACTACTGAGTTTCCAACAACTAAAAAATAAATACAAATTGGAAAATAGAGATTTTTTTTTAGATATCTGCAAGTAAGGGACTATTGTGTAAAGCAAATAAAGACTGAATGGCTTGAAGAACCATTGGGTGTTATTGGACTAGTAAAAAATTGCTATGAACATAAACAATTCAAAGCAATTTCCACCTTCTATAGATCTTTAGAAGAAGATAGACAGGACACAACCTTTTACCTTAAAAAGAAATGGGAAGCTGAACTTGCCATAACTATAACAGAGAAGGAATGGGTTAGTATGTGTGAAATACAACACAGCACAACGAATTCGCCGTTGTGGAGGGAATTTTGCTGGAAAAATTTGATGCGTTTTTTCATTACATCCAAAATAAAAAGTAAACAGATCTCAAGTCCACAGAAATGTTGGAGACTGTGTGGAGAAACAGAAGCAGATCATTCACATGTATCCTGGAAGTGCATAAAAATTAAAAAGTATTGGGAAGACCTTAAAATGACCATAGATAATAATCTGGGTTATGCACTCCTAAACACCTGTCAAGTGATGTACCTTGGAAACATAAAGGAACAGATACAAAAGGAGGACTTATATCTGGTAAAAATAATTCTAGCCGGAACTAAAAAAGCAATCACAAAGAAGTGGTTACACCCAGACCCTCCTACTCAACAAGATTGGATTAGGATTGTAGAGGGTATCTCAGAGATGGAAAAAAATCACATTCAATATTAGACTGATGGGATGTAAAGATAGACAATGGAGGAAGTGGAAAGCATTCCAAAGTGGCACCAAAAACACACCATAAAAAGAAATTTGATAGGTGGAAAAAGAAATGTAAACTCCAGACTGCATATATGTTCGTTTGTTTGTAATTTTCTTTACTGTATCGTTTTCAATGTTAACTAAAACTAATAAAAATTAAAGTTGAAAAAAAAAAAGAACAAATTTAATGAGAATGTTATACACTCTGAAGTATACCCCAGTAGGTCATTATGTGTTAGAATTTACCATCAGTGTTGATAATGTCTTTCTTCTTGCCAGTCAGAAAAATACTTTTTGTTGGACGCCCCAGAAACATGCTTTTTGTTCTGATTATCAAATACCCTAATCTTCTGTTACTAGTGTGAGGTGACTTTAATATAATAGATCCTTCCTTAGACAGATGCCCACCTTGCTCAAATAACTCTGCTATAAATACATTTATGCAAAAAATTCTTTTAATAGACATTTGGAGAGTTAAGAACCCTAAAGCCAAACTGTACATGGAATAATAAATCCAGCTCTTCTAAATCCTGTATTGATTTCTGGTTAGTCCCTGATTGCTTAGATAAGAATAACATAATAGTCAATATAATGCCAACTCCACTTACAGAACACAAAGCGGTATCACTTCAGGTTTCTTTAAGTCTTCATGCTGCCCAAGCGCGTAGGAGCTGCTACTAGAAACGTAATAATTCCCTTCTAAAACATGAGACAGGGATTGAAGATATTCTGGTATTGATTAAATGTTTCTGGGATAAATCCCTAGCCAGTCATGTTTACTGTCAAAACTGGGAGCTTTTCAAATTTGAAGCCGCTAAATATTTGAGTATGGCTTTTCAACAGCAAAACAAAGGAAAACTGAAGGAATTAATGTAGTTACAAGGATAACTGCTCCAGAACCGATCGGAAGATGATGAGATTGATTTTGTTTTGCAACAGAATAAATTAAATGACATTTATAAATTGAATGCGGGAGGCTTTATGAGATCAAGGAGATAGATGGTGGTTAGAAGAAGGCAAACAACACTCATCTTATTTTGGCCCTTATGTTCAGAATGCTATTTAAACAATGTACAAAAATGCTAATTGTTCCATCAAATTACATGCCGGTACATCCTTTAGGTTTAAGTTGAACCGTAGTATCAGGCGAGGTTGCCCCATCTCCCTATATTTGTTTCTCATCTGTGCTCAGCTCCTCTCTGACTATATTAAACGTAGTCCCCTGAAAGGCATTACAATTGCAGAAAAGAAAAATTCATTAGTCAGCTTACTGATGATGCCACCCTCTTTTTAAAAAAGTGCTTCACAGGTGCAGATAAACATTAACACAACTGATGCTTTTTCTGTAGCTTCAGCACTCCACTTAAACATCGGTAAATGTGAACTGCTTGCCCTCAGAAACTCTACCAGTCCCTCTATTGCTGGCATTCCAGTGAAAGAGTCGATCACTTACCTTGGTAATTAATAAAAGTCAAACCACCAGATACTTCTTCAATTTCAATCCAGTTTGACATAAAACACAACAAAAAACTAAATTCTTGGCTCCAACAGGATTTATCTCTGAAAGGCTTTTCAGTTTTACACACCAAAGCGGAGGGATTATCTCGATTGACTTATGCTGCTTTGTCTCTTGATGTAAATACAGAAACCCTGGTGGATATTGACAGACTCCTTTATAAGAATACAATACATTATATTAAGGGAGCAGTTTATCCAACTCATACCAACATGGTGGAATAAACTTTCTTGACTTTTCTACAGTAAACAATGTGTTTAAAGTAAACTGGATCAAACAATTTCTCAGGAACCCAACATCAATTTGGAACTTTATTCCAAATTAAAAAATAAATAAATAAATTTTAGTCTTTGTTTTATCTTGTAATTACAGTATTGATAAAATCCCCTTAAAACTGTCCAACTTTGCCAACGACCAGATGCTTCTTTCCTGGTCGTTGCTTTATAAACACAACTTTTCTCTGCACAGATACTATATTTGGAACTATATCTATATGTAGATAAAGATATATATCTATATCTATATATATCTATATATCTATATATATATATCTATATATAGATATATATATATATATATATATATATATATATATATATATATACATACATATATATATATATATATATATATATATACATACATATATATGTATATATATATATATATCTATATCTATATATATCTATATATCTATATATATATATCTATATATAGATATATATATATGGAATAATTTATACTAGGACCTGGAATGGAAGAAAATTTGGACCACACCATTGAAATTCCTGTTAACCAAGAAATTAAAGGAAATATCTTTTAAAATTATTCATAGTTTTTAACCCACCAGAACCTTTCTTGTACGATATAAAAAGACATTGATGCTAACTGTTATTTTTTTTTAACTGTTAGAAGAAAGATATTTCTCTCTTATTTTGATCCTACTTATGCGCTAATCTTTTCTGGCAAGATGTTTGTGCTTTTGTTGTTTCTTTTATCTTATCTTTGTTACGGAAAAATATTGTTTGGCTTTTTTGATTGCCCTGCAAATAGGTCAAACACATTTCATTTGATTAATTTACTAATCTTAATGGCTAAATTTCATATACATGAATCCAAAATTTCTAATGCAAAACCGTCTTTTCAATGCTTTATAAATGAAACCAGACAATATTTTAAAACTATACAACATTCTCATAATATAAAAGCAATAAAACTATAAATTTATGCTCCTTGTTTGGTATCTTGTGATTAGCCTGTGTCTAATTGTTATTACACGAAACCCCCTGACATTGTCTTTTGCTCATTTATATCTGTAATGTTTGAATTGCTAATGAAGTTAAAATAATAATAATAATAATAATCCGCATTACTGCACATCACATCACAGCGCGACAGAACTTTAGGGTTACGTATTGTGCTGACGCCATCAGACCGCGCTGGGCAGCTATCTGCGCAGTTGTGTTTTATCGGATTTGCGGAGTTGTCGCTGCTCTAAGTGAAATAAAGTTCAGGACGTCTGTTTGCAGCCCCGTGAGGAACTCTGAGTTCAGCAGCGGGACCAAACAGGCACGGTCCGAGTCAGATCAAGGACCCGAGTCGTAGTTCGTTGTTTTCTTTCTGACGCAGCTAGCAGTTAGCGTCGTTAGCTCAGGTGTGTGCTCGATTTTTGTCTCTCAGATGGAATATCCCGGAGGAGGGGGGGCGGTGCTGAGCAGCGGGAACGTCCCGGCCTTCCTGACCAAATTGTGGACCCTGGTGGAGGACCCGGACACCGACCCGCTCATCTGTTGGAGTCCGGTACGCACGTTAATAGCTAACAGCTAACGCAGACAAGTTTAACTTTAATTACACTGCAGAAACAGACACAACTTTATTTAAACTGGAATGCAGACAGGTTTGTTGACAAACTTTATTTACTGACTAAGGAAAAGAGGTCAGCTCAGTTAGCTTGGCTTCAGTGAGCTATTAAGGCTAACAGATCTCACGTCAGAGGTCAAATGATTTCAGACATCATCAGCTAGTCAGTAAATGATCAGTTGACGGTTGTTTTTCTGACAAACAGATCCCAGCAGCTGTTTTGGTGATTGGCATAAAGCCTGAATTCAAATAAGCTGATGTCACTGTAGTGTCATAGCCCACACAATGTACAGCTGCAGGTGTTAACTACCAGTTGCACTGAAATCAGTCACTTATCACCAAGAGGTCTCCATCTTTATTTTCCTGATTTTTAGGTGGGTTTTTTTTTTTGTTTATTTGTTTTTTTTAATTGCATAACTATTAGGCTCCGCCCACAGCTGAAGGTCATGTAACACCAGATTAAAGATTCTCAAGTGTAATTTCCTAGTGTAGTTTAAAAAGGAAAATGAACCTTTAATCCACGGTTTTCATTACTGCCACACCCCCACCTAGATGGCAAAAACAATACTGCGGTCCTTTGCTCTCCAGCCTCCCTGTGAACGTCTCCTAGTTTAACTAGAAACCAAAGTGCCAGATAGTTGCTGTGCTATCAGATGCAGTAATCAACATTTATTTACAACTGCCAGAGAGGAGTTTTGATTATGGCACCAACATGTAAGCACACCACCTAACTCTTACTGGCTACATCTGCTTTTCACAACAACCCTGGCTGTGCAGTGCAGGAATGATTTAACTGGCATTAGAAAAATACTCGGTCAACTTTACTGTTATGACATGATATTATTGTGACAAGTTAATACTACCTGAACTTTTCTGGAACTACACTGTAAATATCCAAGTCAACAAAATGTAAGATTTACATTTGGTAGTTTGTGTTTAACCCTTTCACGCACAGTGCTCACTACAGTGGACACCTATTCAAAGGCTGTTTTCTTGTATTTGTGTCAGAGTTGATGGTATACTTGCACATAAACCACTACACTGGACACTGATGTGTCACCCCATACCCTGCCACCCATTCCAAATGTCCACCTAAGTGGACATGTAAAAAACTATTTGAAAAATACATGTTTAAGAAATGAAGTTGCAAGATATTTTTTTCATGCCTAAAGATCATTAAAAATACTTAAGAAAAAAAAATCCTGATTGAGGTTGTCATAATTAAGCTAGCTATGTAGCGCTTACTTTTGCTTTAACAACAAACATTTTCTTGTTCTTCACCTCCTTTACATAAAGCTTCCGCGGCAGGATATGGATCACAAGTCCCCAAAATTAATGGGTTCTCTTTATATCGTTGTTTTTCTTCCATGGATAGATGATCCAAATAAAGAGTTCACTTTCATCTGCAGTGTGTGTGTGTTCTGTTTAAATAAGAGTTCCAATCAGTAATCTATTCATCAGTGCCTGATGTGCAAAAAAACCAAAATGTTGAAATAATCAATAAACTGTGAGCTGGTCAGACACAGTCTGCAGGAGAGCAGACAGCTGAGATTAAAGTGTTAGCAGTGTGCTCTGACTTTCAGATCTATTCCTGGAGATTCCTGAGAGCGTAAGAGCGTATATAGTCTCTGTTTTTATCGGTTGATTATAAGGTAAATGGAGTGGTTCTTATACATTCCTTAATACTCAAGTACTCAAAGTGCTTTATACACCATGTCTCATTTACACACATTCATGCGACACTTTTTTCAACCTGCGCGCTTTCTGTCGAACAGTCACACACTAATGAACGCATCGAAGAGCACCCGGACCTCAGGGTTCAGTTTGTGGCCCAAGGAATGGAGCAGAGAGGAATTAAACCACTAACCTTCTGATTAACAGATGACCTGCTTTGCATCCTGAATCACAGCCACCACAATAATACAGATTCTTTTTCTTTTTCTCCTGTTGTATAAGAGTGGTACCAGTTTCCATGTGTTCGACCAGGGGCGGTTTTCCAAAGAAGTTCTCCCAAAGTTCTTCAAGCACAACAACATGGCCTCTTTTATCCGCCAACTCAACATGTGTGAGTAACCAGCAAGGAATCATCAGTGTGTTAGCCCCACCTCTGAATGGTAGCTTGTTCAGAGGTGGGGCTATCACCACTGGTTGTTTTTTTTGTTTTTTTTCATTGATTTATTTTTTGGGAAAGAAGATTCACCCAGTCAGGTGTGCTTTGTGAAGAAACATTGAGATATGAGTGAAATGTCTGGTGTTTAGCGGGTTTTCTTTGCTGCTGTAATTATCATAGCAGCAACAACCAGTCATCACAAGGCAAGGTAGCCTGCAGTTAACATAGCAGTTAATGAGAAGATAGCAGTTAATGAGCTAAGCCAGTGCTCCCCAACCTTTGTTGCGCCACAGACTAGTTTATGTCCGACAATATTTTCACGGACTGGTTTTAAAGGTGTTGTGGATAAATACAACAAATAAAACGAGTATCGGTACCCCCCAAAAAAGAACATTTATTCATAACACATGGGAAAAGACCCAGGGAAACAGAGTTAACGATAAAAACGGATAAAAACCACAAATTTCACACCTGAGCCTCAACTCTCGTGGTCCGGTACCAAACGACTCACAGACCGGTACTGGTCTGTGCGCTGGAGGTACCGGTTTGTGTATATCAACTGATCGTTCATCATGATGATCTTTGTGCATGAGCAACTTCTTTTTCTCCATGTCACTGAAGAAGTGCTAGTTGACTGGTATGCTGAAAAGCTTAACTTTTCTCAACACTCAGCAGAACCATCTTTATAAAAAGTAGGATAGAAGAAAAGGACAGGCCCACCTGTGCATGCTCCACCTCTAGCACTGTGCATGCAAAGGCATCTGGACTATGGAAGAGCCAGAAAGAGCAGCTGTGATATTAGCAAGTGTAGCATTGTATTGATGGTGTCCACATCCTTTATTGATGGTGTAATGGTACTTCTCTCAGATGGTTTCCGTAAGGTGGTGCACATTGAGCAGGGTGGTCTGGTGAAACCAGAGAGAGATGACACAGAGTTTCAGCACCCATTCTTCATCAGAGGACAAGAACATCTGCTGGAGAACATCAAACGCAAAGTCACCAACGTATGTAGTGCCTCACACACCAGAGAATACCTAAAAATGCAGACAGGTGATAGACTAAAGGCAGACTCTGCTGGACTTCCTCTGAAAGGTGATGATTCAGAGTGCTGTGTGACATCACAGGATACAGCTAATCAATCATAAATACTTTGTATAGCCCCCTTAATGTGGGGTCAGAGTGGCCTTTAATCTATCGCTGTGCATGTGGTACTACGAACTCAGAACCCAATCTGACCTGTCCTGTCCATCTCCTTGGTAACGGTATGCTGTGATTGGAACAGGTGTCATCAGTGCGTCAGGATGATGCGAAAATCTCAGCAGAGGAAGTGAATAAGATCCTGAACGATGTCCAGTTGATGAAGGGAAAACAAGAAACCATCGACTCCAGGATCGTCACAATGAAACAGTAAGTACCAAACCAGAATCGGGGCTAGAAACCACTCGGCAGTGTTGACTAAAGGCTGATTTTGTATTTCAGTGAGAACGAGGCTCTGTGGAGAGAGGTGGCCAGTCTGAGACAGAAACACACTCAGCAGCAGAAAGTTGTCAACAAGGTACCTGTTCTCACTGTCCACACCTTTCCAATTAGCAGAACTCTGTAAGAATACACCTGATGTGATCCCTCTAAAAATATGAAAACCTCAGGGGAGAGTGATGCCACATAGTTGTCAGACATTATCTTAACATTAATGAACTCTCTGCCTGTCTTTCTCTCTCTCCAGCTCATACAGTTCCTGGTGTCTCTCATTCAGTCCAACAGACTGCTAGGAGTCAAGAGGAAGATGCAAGTGTTTTTTTGATACCATAGATACTACAACAAATGCTACACTGTACACCACAAAATGTTACAATTGTGACTTAGACACTAGATAATTTCAAAGTGCAGATTGGATGCTGTGAGATTTTCTCTGCTAAGAACATTTTCAAGAAAATGTTCCCAGGTGATAAAATGAGGATCCAACTGCCCAAATTTCTGACTTTTGCTTTTATTTTGAAGTACCAGTTCCATTTCCCTCTCATACCTGACCTTAAATTCAGTTTCGTCTGTACATGTTTTGCCATCCATCCATCTTCATCCGCTTTATCCGAGGCCGGGTCGCAGGGGCAGCAGCCTAAGCTGCTACATGTTTTGCATTTTCGTTTATTCATTTTAACTCTCTCTGCAGTCCTCTGATGCTCAACGACTCTGGCAACACCCACTCAATGCCCAAATATAGCCGTCCCTTCTCATTGGAGCAGGTAACTTGTCTCTGATTTACATCTTTCACTCAGAGCTGCACAGTCAGCGGTGATTATCTTTCAGAGTGACATTAGCTGATTGTCTAGCTTTAGCTTTGAAAACTAGACTCTTCATATCTACCTGTGCAGATCTTTGTCCTCACTTGGTCACTTGTGCTTTTGTGTTTTTCATTTCAGGCTGCAGCCAATCTCTTCTCAGCTGACACCTCTGTGACTTCAGGACCCATCATTTCTGACATCACAGACATGGCCACATCTGGTTCAGATGAATTGGCTAGTGATTGGACGGACCAAGGGTGAGTACTGATCAGATTAGTCCTGCTTAGTCAGTAAGTGATTGATCCTTCAGAAGTCAGAGTGCATAACCTCCTTGCAGAGAGAGCCAATCAGTCGATATCAAAGAGGAGCCGTCCAGTCCAGAGGTGGAGGTGTGTCCTGTTCTGGAGGAAGTGGCTGCACCAGTGGACACGCCCTTCTCCCCCACCACCTTCATTAACTCCATCCTAGAGGAGAATGAGCCACCCACCCCAGTCACCTCCACGAGCAGTGCTCCCACTGGTAGACATTAAGTTTGTGGTTAGCAGTTTGATTCCTGTTCAGAGCATTTCTGGTAAATAAAAATCTTTCTCTCAGCAGCCAGTCCCATTGTGGTGATGAGCCCCGTCTCCACTGGCCCCCTGTCTTCTGCCTCATCCACCCAATCACTCACCTCTGTTACCACAGCAAACACAGCCCCCAGCACAACAGCACCTCAGAAGAAATGTCAAGCCATCGCCTGTATTGACAGGTAAGTGTGACTACACCAGTATGCAGTTGTGAAACATTCATAGAGACTTCTAATAGAGTTAGTACCACCTGCAATGAACAACTATGAGTGTTTACCAAGAGTTAGCCCAAGTATTTCCCCAACAGTGGCCCTGCTCTGACTAAAGCTGAAACTGTGTTCGAGGTTGCAAAGAGCTGCCCAACAAACCGTCTCAGTAGACTGTCTATTAAACTGTCCTCAGTCCACCCTTACGCTGGGGAAGGCGTCACCCTTTACTGACAGCTTCCCCAGCATCTCTCCAGAAACTGCCCCAACAAACACCTGCAGCTTCCCTGAACAGCTGCCCCACCCCCTGCATCCGTCACCTTGACATTCTGAGTGTCTTTCTGAAAAGTGTCTTTCAGACAGGATACTGAAAGTGTTCTACTGAATGCAGATTGCAAGCTTGTGTCAGGAGTGTGCAAGTTAGACCTCAGTCTGAAGTTTGTGCTACAAGTTTAGGAACCTCCTCCTATTCAGCCCACTTGAATAGCAAGTGCAGCGCTGCCTTATCTGAAAGCCTCTTAACTAACCATGGTGTGGTTTCAGTTTGTCTTACATTTAAGGTGATGGTCCTGTTGCAGGACAAGTGTGTCATTAAAACCCCTGTGCTTCCTTCAGACCACGCCCCATTCCCTCTGCAGGTGGACTCCCACCTGATGTTTGGCGGTTCCTCTCAGCACAACCTGACAAGTGAATCACTAACTCTACAAACAATTATTGATTTGTAAATATTTGTAAAGTTTTGAAGTCTTCTGGTGACATTCTGCATTTTCTTCTTGTCAAATGTGTGAGGTCCAGATCAGCTTCTTTAGCTGATCAGATGTCAGAGGTCATGAGATAGTTAATTGATTATATTTGGTCAATATTAAGTGCAGAAGTAAGCAATCCGGTCAACAGGTCAAAAAAGGTTTCTTAGGTGGCTCACAGCAGGAAATGTTTCAGGCATGTTCTGACTACAGGAAATACTGTGTGTGGCCACAGTGAGGGGTGGAGCCTTTGCATAAGATTATTAACAGCAGAGAACTGGCAGGTTCAAACTGAGCTCACCTGTATGGAACAGTTGAGATGCAGATCATGTATTTATTTGGATCTCTGCAGACATAAAGGAAAATGTAGAATAACGGCAGACATGTGACCTAACATCAGACCTGTCTCACCTGTGTGCCTCAGGTCTGAGCTTTTGGATCATGTGGATACTATCGACAGCGGCTTAGAGAACCTGCAGAACATACTCAACACACAGACGTTCTCCTTGGATACAGTTCCATTTATTGAGGTTAGTCTGACTTCTTGTTACCACCTCACATTATTATCACTTGTGTTTGTGTGTCACTAACTGTGTGTGCGTGTGTGTGGGTGCTTAGTTTTTCAGTTCATCTGGCTCGCCTGCAGACTTTGACCTCGACAGTTTGGACAACGTGAGTTGCAAATTTCACATTCTTTGGTCTGCTGTTTCAAAAATAAGAGCGTACTGTTGCCGATGATGTCAGACCTGTCTCACTGATGTTACCGTTTCCCACTAGCTGCTGTCTGATGAAGCTCCTAAGGGAAGTGAAGAAAGCGGAACGGGTGAGTCATGCCTTCAGTAAGTTGCTGCTCCATCCACCTGTCTGTTGTCATGTCATGACACTGTGCTGCTCTCTGATTGGTGCAGGAAAGCAGCTGGTTCAGTATACACCTGTCCAAACGTCTGAATCTGACAGCGGGGCTGACCTGCCAGCGCTGCTGGAGTTGGAAACTGAGCCATTTCTCAGCTCTGACCCCCACACCGAGGACCCAGGCATCACCTTGTTGAACCATGGCAATCTGGACTCCAACCTCTGACCTCTCGAGTAACCATAGCAATGTGACACCTGAGCACTGACTCAGTTGCAGCAATAGATGAGAACAGTCGATAGGTCAAAGGTTGTGTTTTTATTACACAGATGTTATTGATATTAATCTGTCTTCTTCTTCTACTCTTGTTCTTTTCTTCTTTGTTGAAGCTTAAATGGAAGCCTTTGTTGCTGTTGAATGCATGTTGAAGTCAGATTTTATGGTCGTCTTTATTTTCTTGTGTAAAATAGATTGAAAAGAATCAGAATATTTTTGGAGTTTTATCAACAAGTGCTGTGCGACCTGACTGACTGCCCACCCATATGAAAGAGCCATGTGGATCAGTGTTATTTCTCATTAGTTTGTTTCCATCAGTTTATATTACTATTATATTCAGTTAGTTCCCGAAACATGAGTTCACATCACTGCTCACTGCTGTGTCCCCATGTTTCAGAAATAATGCAGAGACATGTCTGAGATGGTATGAGCGCCTTTTTTGACTTGTATATTAGAGATGCTTTGGATCAGATTTGAGATTCTTGTCTGCAGAAGCTTCATGGATGGAACTCTGAAGGTAACCAAATGATGGTCCGTGCTGCCAATTGTGTTTGTGTTTGCAAGGCCAGTTTAAGGAAACTTTGTTTGAATTTGTCGGGGTTGCACGTTGTTATGTCATCAGACACAGGGTTAACATTCCTCACAGCTTCACTTGGTTAAAGTTTAAACAAAGGCCGAGATCTTAACCACATCTCAGGCTCAGTGCTGTGATACAGGGCTCATCTGTGATGTCGTCATTCTTACTGAGCAGCTTTTCTGTATGCTAAGTCACCTGTGGCTCACCTGAACCAGTCGTCTCTTTGATGGCTAAGAAACACCTGAAGTCCTGAGGATATTTTATTGGTCACATGGTCAGAGCTGAACAAACAGAAAGCTCCCTTCAGTATTAACACATCTGTTAATATAGTACAATTATATTTAAGGCAAGTGGTAAATCCACCCGAGTCCTCCAGGCTAACATGATGGCGCTCCACGTGTAGAGAGGACAAAGACGGGGTCAAAGGGCAGATGAAATGTTGATGTATTCTGAGTGTAAAATTTTGATTCAATAAAATGTTTTTAAACAGCAGCATGTGAATGAATGACTGGTTGATTTAAATCAAACTGTGAGGATGTCATAAGGTTGGTAATACTGCGTTGTCTCTACAAAGTGAAATGAATGTGTGAGTAAGCTAAATCACCACGTTAACTGATGCTGAACAGATCACCTGGTCAGGAGCAGGTAAAGTTCAGAGTTTCAGTTTAACATCAACTATGTTTATTTCCAGCATGTTTTCAGCCTGATAGATTATCTGTTAGGAAACCATGTTTTATAGTAAGCGCTACTTTTCTAACAACAGTCAGTGAAGCTCAGCTGTAAAGTTAGCTCAGACCTTTTACCCCCTGCAGCTACTAGAATAGAACACACAAGAAATATCTTTTCAGTCAGTCAAAATTAATTTGATTTCCATGTTTGCTATATCTGGCTGTGGAACAGGAAGCTTAAATGTATCAGTCCAGATCCAGTTTAAAGCATAGCTTTTGTCTTTCACATTTGCACATTCTTTGACATACACAGCAGCACTGTGAGAAAATGATGTAAATAAATTTGGTGAACATTTACTTCATCAAGAGGGAGGAAGGTACTCACAGATGGACTGTATTGTATGCAGAGACTGCAATCTAAAAGGTGGTGTTAGAGGAGAATGTAGTTAGACATATGATGGTAATGTGTAGGATGCCCACTTTGAGCAGTTTGGATACAGAGAGGTGAGGTAAGATTGGGCACGTGCAGAGGAGGAAGAATGGATACACTGGACAAAGGAGGATGAAGATGGAGCTGCTAGGCACAAGGAGAATAGAAAGACCTCAGAGGAGGTTCATGGATGTAGAGAGGGAGGACTGTTGTGACAGAGGAGAATGCTGGGATAGGAGGACATGGAGGCAGATAATCTGCTGTTAAGACCCCTGGAGCAACTGAAATAAGTGCAGACATGGTTTAAAAATAATATTCTGGTAAAAGTTAAAGAAGTGATTCAATGTCTTTACTCAAGTAAAAGTAAAAAAGAAGTTCTGCAACGCTAACTGAACCTTGTGCTATAATAATACAATAAAATCATATTAGTTAGATGGAAATGCAAACATAATTTCAGTCTAAATTCTAATAAAAACAATTCTAATAAATGTACTCAGGTTGAATCAATTATGTAAGTAAGTATGTAAAATTTTATTTATATAGCATGTTTCTAGATAAAAGATCACAAAGTGCTTCACAAGGTATAAAACAAAAACAGTCAAAAGTTAACAGAGGTCAGTAATTTGCACCAGAGGTACACTTCAACTGTGAGAGACAGAACGTGAAAAAAAAATCCATGAATCCACATGGTAGGATTTGTAAAGAATTTATTCGTAAATTAGGGTGGAAAATAAGTATTTGGTCACCTCAAACAAGGAAAATCTCTGGTTCTCACAGACCTGTAACGTCTTCTGTAAGAAGCTTTTCTGTCCCCCACTCGTTACCTGTATGAATGGCACCTGTTTGAACTCATCATCTGTATAAAAGACACCTGTCCACAGCCTCAAACAGTCAGACTCCAAACTCCGCCATGGCCAAGACCAAAGAGCTTTCGAAGGACACCAGGAAAAGTATTGTAGACCTGCACCAGACTGGGAAGAGTGAATCTACAATAGGCAAGCAGCTTGGTGTGAAAAAATCAACTGTGGGAGCAATCATCAGAAAATGGAAGACATACAAGACCACTGATAATCTCCCTCGATCTGGGGCTCCACGCAAGATCTCATCCCGTGGGGTCAAAATGATCATGAGAACGGTGAGCAAAGATCCCAGAACCACACGGGGGGACCTGGTGAATGACCTGCAGAGAGCTGGGACCAAAGTAACAAAGGTCACCATCAGTAACACACTACAACGGCAGGGAATCAAATCCCGCAGTGCCAGACGTGTTCCGCTGCTGAAGCCAGTGCATGTCCAGGCCCGTCTGAAGTTTGCCAGAGAGCACATGGATGATACAGCAGAGGATTGGGAGAATGTCATGTGGTCAGATGAAACCAAAGTAGAACTTTTTGGTATAAACTCAACTCGTCGTGTTTGGAGGAAGAAGAATACTGAGTTGCATCCCAAGAACACCATACCTACTGTGAAGCATGGGGGTGGAAACATCATGCTATGGGGCTGTTTTTCTGCCAAGGGGACAGGACGACTGATCCGTGTTAAGGACAGAATGAATGGGGCCATGTATCGTGAGATTTTGAGCCAAAACCTCCTTCCATCAGTGAGAACTTTGAAGATGAAACGAGGCTGGGTCTTCCAACATGACAATGATCCAAAACACACCGCCCGGGCAACAAAGGAGTGGCTCCGTAAGAAGCATTTGAAAGTCCTGGAGTGGCCTAGCCAGTCTCCAGACCTCAACCCCATAGAAAATCTGTGGCGGGAGTTGAAAGTCCGTGTTACTCGGCGACAGCCCCAAAACATCACTGCTCTCGAGAAGATCTGCATGGAGGAATGGGCCAAAATACCAGCTACTGTGTGTGCAAACCTGGTAAAGACCTATAGTCAACCTTTGACCTCTGTTATTGCCAACAAAGGTTATGTTACAAAGTATTGAGTTGTATTTTTGTTATTGACCAAATACTTATTTTCCACCCTGATTTACGAATAAATTCTTTACAAATCCTACCATGTGAATTCATGGATTTGTTTTTCACATTCTGTCTCTCACAGTTGAAGTGTACCTCTGGTGCAAATTACTGACCTCTCATCATTTTAGGTGGGGGAACTTGCACAATCGGTGGCTGACTAAATGCTTTTTTGCCCCACTCTATATGCTGAATAACAAGCAGGCCCTGATCACAAGACCTCAGGGACCTACTATAGGGACATAGGGCTGTAAAAGGTCAATAATGTCGGCTGGTGCTTGTCCTTGAAGAGCTTTAAATGTCAGAACCAGTATCTTAAAATGGACTCTGAATTCAGCGGGGAGCCAGTGCAGCTGTATAAGCAATGGTGTTACATGAGAGTACTTAGATGTTTTTGTCAGAATCCTTGCTGCAGCATTTTGGACAATCTGCAGACGCTCCGGGGAGTTTTTGTTTACACATGTAAACAGTGAATCACAGTAGTCCAATTACGATGAAATGAATGCACGAATAACAATCTCCAGTTCAGAATGAGATACCATAGGGCTCAATTTAGAAATGTTTCTTAAATGATAGAAGCAGGATGTAGAACATGAGCAGAGAAAATTAAGGAGAATTTACAATCGCCTGCATTGTAGAGGGTGACTTTGCCTCCAAACCTAAACAGGAAGATGAGTAAAGCAAATGGTTACAGTGGGATGAAGAACGTCTGGTGTTGTGGTGTTGTTCACGGGTCTAAAATCCTGTACCATTCATCTACCCTTACCTGGGCCCATAAAGACGGGAAATATTGGCATATTCCATGATGACTGATATGGGATGATCATGCTGGCCTCCAGTAATCTGTTTATAGTGTCATACTGGGGTCACCAGACCAGACCTTCACCAGGGTTCAGGGTGATGTGGACCTGGGCTGTGTCAACTAGATGGACATCATGTGGCGTGGTGGTCCAGATAGCAGAAGAAATGGAGTCTAAGAAACCTGGGGTTGTTCTTATTTTCTTCAATCAATGATGAATAATAAGATTTATTCAGAGCTCACAAAATCCAGGACGACAGTTTAGTCACCAGTTTGGGCAAAAGACAAATTCTCAGTTTTGATGTTCAACAAACACATTTATTACAGAATTTTTAAACCATGTTTTACAATGAACATGTCACTTCCTTTTTGTCATCAGATCAAATCTGAATCAGCACACTGTTGAGACTAATTTTCTTTACTTTCCCTCCATGATTCTCTAAGACAAAATAAATGTCTATAAACCGACATTTTTAAATATTAAAAAAACAAACAAACAAAAAAACACCTGCTGCCATTCACTGGAGGGGCCTACAGCTAGTGGGAGGGGTCAAATTTCATTGGCCGTGCTGATTGGTCGGTACACTGGAAACGGTAACGCAGGAAGCGAACTCGCGGTTTGATGTGGAAGTCAGCAGGTATCCTCCAGTTCCACATTTTCTGTACCTGAACGAGAAACTAAGATTCAGTGAAAAGCTTCACATGAGAACAATAAAAATAAAAACATTCCGAACAAACATATTAATTAACACACGTTTTCAACATGTTCCAGCATGTGTTTGCAAAGCTTCTCTGTTGCATGCTACAATAGACGGTTTAAATAATGGATCATATTTTGGATCATTTTTATACCCTCTGGTATGAGTTAAAACACATAATGAATTTATGTGGGGGGTTTTACTATCTGGATCTGGAGGGACAGATCTAACACATCCAGTACTGATGCTGCAGGGTTTTCATGACCCTGACATAAGGTTCTTTTAAATAAAAATCAGTTTCAGGGTTTGATGAACATTGAATACAAAGAAAGTGTAAACTAAACAGGAAACATCAGACTGCTCAGGACATCTTCAGTGATAGAGAAAATGTATTAAATGAAATATTGTAAAGATTCGAGTCAAGAGTGTGATGATAACAAACCTTCAGGACCCTGACCAGATGGGTTGTACTGTTCAGTAACTGAACCTGCAGAGAACAAGCAGAACCAAGAAAAGAGAAAGAACAAGCCTTCAGCACCTGATCTCATATCAGATACAAACAGCAAAATATCCTTTAACCAAAAAATGGGACCCCAAACCGCATCCAGCACACCTTTGAACCTTCTGGGGCACAGATGCAAAGGAGAAAGTACACTTGGAGGGAAGAATTCTCTTCATCCAATCTGCAATTTATTTATTTATTTATTTTTTACAAAAATACTGATATTAACAACCAAAGAAGAAACTTATCTTAGCATTAACCCAGGCTTGAAAAGCTTAAGCCCCTCCCCCTGAAGAAACTATGCAATCATTAGTCAGTGGTCTGATATACTAGATGTTTTCACCCTGAGGATGACAAAGATTTCTTACTTATTACCTCTGATGCTTTTATACAAAAATCACAAATACAGAATCCCCCCAATGTGTGTGTTTTTAACTACTTGGTAAGATTACAATTCCCCGCTAGTACATAGAAGCCATGGAATACATGGAATTTTCCAATATGGTGGCAATGTGGAAAAGAGCATATGCAGTCTTAGTCCTCTAGAGGGCATAGGTTTCCACGTGACATACAGGCTCTGTCCGTATTTCAGGTATGTGTTCTAAACCTTTTAAAGCTGTGAACATTTTTAAGACTTACCAGCCATCTGTGTGTGATCTGTCACAGCTGGAGGACCTGCAAAAGAAAAAAACGACACACACATTGTGTATTCAGTGGGTGTTGACACACCCACAAAGAGACACAGACCTACAGCAGAATAAGAACAGACACTCTGAAACATGAACTCAATCCCAGTCAGTCACAAACACTAAACCTCACAACTTGATCTTCTCCTGCGTTTGAATGTGAGTTTATTAACGGGAATGAGCCAGAACCTCGTGATAGACCACATGACACTGATCTACACCTTTCTCAGCGATGCTGCTTTGTTTCATGCTCACACTTTAAACTGCCGGATTTGTAAGAGTGTCTGTGCAGGTTCTCAGTCACCCAGGTCATCGTAATGGAAGGAGCTTGGAAAGAAAAGCGTCTGGACAGTGGGATACTCCCACTGGGTTTAAATCTGGGACTCTCCACAATTTGACCCTTAGAACTGAAGAAGCTTCTCGGATGAGAGGTGAAATGTCTTCAAGCAACTTAAAGAAGTCCAGATGCTTTTCTTTCCAAGCTCCTTAGACCTCACCCTTCAGAGGCGACAAAGGACATCTAGGGTTTTTTTTTTAAACAGCATCAATAAGCAAAGATCAAAGAAATGATCAAAACATGATCAATAAACCTTTTTTTTTTTTTAACTTCGATTACTTCGATTACTTGCAGGCTCCCTCTAAGTGTATAAAGAGCATGTTGCATACTTGGCTTTGTGACAACCCTTGTGAGTTAGGGCAAGTTGCTGGAATTGGACTGTTTTTTTTTTAGGTGGGAATAGGTATAGTAGAACTTACTAGAGTCGAGAAGCCTTCCTGTATGATCTGTTGCAACTGAAACACACAGAACATACATCTGACCTTTGACCTCTCACCTGTCTGTTAATTAACTGTTAGTATATTGAAGGGAGATGGACATACCTGTATCTGTCCCAGAGAAGTCTGCTGTCATGGTAACCAGATCTGTGTGAGGGTGAATGCCTGAAACTGAATAAAGCAGAGGAGAATCAGACAGGAAAATGTAAACCTAGATATACAAACAAATGTACAGACAGGTGTACAGAAGCAGACAGATGCAAAGGCTGACCTACAGAAAGACAGGCAGATGTACAGATAGATTTACAGTCAGGCAGACAGAAAGACAGATGTAGAGACAGACGGCCATACACAAAGATATGCACACAAATGCACAAAGAGAACCAGGGACAACTGTAAAGACAAATGTAAAGATATGTGTACCTGGGTTATGTGTCTGTGTGACATCGACAGACGCAGTTTGGATCATAATGGATGGAGACTCTGTAACACATGATCATGTGACAGAAAGTGGATAACCCCCCTCTCCCACACCGGATTATGAACCAATGAGCTTCATAGTCATAGTAAGTAGTAGTACCTGTGACATCATGCCCGAATCCAAGACCTGAAGCTAGAAATAACAGAACACAGAGCTTCATCCATTACTAACACTGTTTATCAGTAAACAGCTTTTTTTGATCTGTTCACCTCACCTGTGAGATTGACGTTAATCCTGGTTACTGACTCTGCACCACCTGATGACATCATCAGCACATTTTTATTTATCACATTATTTCACTGATCATTTAAAATACAATCCTGATTCCAGATTAACGACTGGATAAGGTGACTCGGGTGTGGTTCCCAGTTATTCTGCACTTTGGCTGTTATCCTGTACTTCCTGTACGCCTTGTCTTTGACTGAAAATTGTATAACTTAAAATGTGAGGCTATTTTTGTAAGAAGTGTTCAAACCATTTAAAGAGCTTCATGTTGAGCAGTACCACTCCCTGACCTGGTGACGTAAACATTACATACTCCGGACTTTTAGCTTCTTTTAGCTCATAATGTTAACAGTTTACTAGTCTAACGATGGAACAATGGAGACACTGAATTCCAACATATAATCTGGTATAAATAATTAGCTTGATTAGACTGTACCTGTGAGATCAGTATAAAGATCGCTGAAGGAAACCAGTTTTTCTGTCTCTGCTGCAGAAACACAAACAGCAAAGTTAAACTGCAGAAACAAATGTTGGCGATGAAGGTGGTGTGAGGAGTATCTAAGGGGGTGATCTGAGCCAGGAATCCTTCTGAACCCACTATCTGACTTTTCAACAAATGTCTTATGTTCACCTGTGTTCAAATGAAGAATCACTAAATTGATACAGAGGGCTTTTGCTTTTTGAAGATGAGGTAGTACTGTTGTTTTTTTCAGAACATGACCATTATCTTACACCAGGGCCAAGCTGAGAATCAGCACCTCCTTCTCTGAAGCCATGGTCCTCTGCGAGAAGATGGTGGATTACTCCCTCCGTGTTGCTGCTCCAAGTGAGGAAGTTAAGTATTTCAGGATCTTAATCTTGAGTGATGATTGAGATGGACCAGTGGATGAGTGCAATTGCAGTTCTCTTCCAAGTATCCTTATCACGGTAACGGGGGGGCATTCACACTTTAGCATCACCTATTAACTTAATCCCACTAATTGCATATCTTTGAACTGTGGGAAGAAGCGTGGGAAAAACATACAACCAGCCAAATGGTGGAGTCGAATGCAGGCAACAGTGCTAACCACCATACTACTGTGCTGCCCAGTAAGTAACATTCACAGATCATTTTCTGTGGAACAAGAGTCACGAGACCTTTGTTATTGATCAGATACAGCCAACACTACCACTTTTATGTAAACATACAGGGGAAACCCTGGGCTAATGTGACAGATAGTAAGTTTCATGTGAACGTTTATCCAGATCATAAATCTTATGGTAAGTGAATCCAGATAAGGGAAAGATACGTTCCTTCATAGCAACTGATCACAGTCAAGTAAGGCGGGTCTTTAATGTATTCTTTTGTTTTTCTTTTTTCCCCCCTTCACATATGACCTGTTGGAGTTTTTTCTTTTAAATTTTGCCTTTTGCAAACGCAGAGTGTATGAATAATGCCTGTTTCCGATTAAAGATGGGATTTTCTTCTTCCTTTTTTGGGGTCCTCTGTTCCATGATTCATTTATTTATGAAGAAAATCAAAGAGGTAATATATCTCATCTGGCCTGTGAGAGACTCTTAATTCTCAGGGAGGAACTGGAAGATACTGTTGAGGAGAATAATGTGTGGAGCTTAGCCTGCTGCTACCGTGAATGGGCAAATCATCGAGGTGGGTGACAGATGGATAGTCTGGTCTACTCAGGTGTGTTCTGTTGCAGATCTGAATGTTTTTATCGAAGTGAACTAAAATGGTGAACGTTTACCTCCATTTGTGTCTGTCAACAGGGTCTGTCGACCGTTTCCTAAACAACACAAAGTGAATTCAGAAAATCAAACAATAATTACATAGTTGAAGGTATTTTTATATGCAGTAAATTTAAGAGCATGAAGCTCTGAGGAATTACCATCAGTATCAGCTGAATCAGCTGCATCTGTGAGGACAAATACAGCACCAATATGAAATATGGTCAACAGATAATGAAGGATCGGGACTATTGATATTTTCCTTAGTTCAGGTGCCAGATAATGTGTCTTTTTTTAAATTTAAGTTTAGAAAAAAAAGAAACAACATTGAAAAGTCTACAGTGGAGCTGATGTAAAGTTTAAAACCTTTGGGATTACATTTATGCTAGTGTGAGATCACCTTTCTGGTCTCTGAGAGCTTCAATGTGCGTTGAGGATGAAGACACTGCCCCTGAAAAGGAAAAAGATGCTGTTTTACTTTACTAAATAAGAGATGAAGGAAAACTTCAGAGTAAAAGTTAATCTGGTTTTCAGAGTAAAAGTCTTTCCTCTCACAACCTGCAGAGTGGGAGGAGCCAGAGACAGAGCTGGGTAATGATTGGTCAGGTCCTGAACTCAGGAAAGTTTGATCTGGTCCTGGCTGATCAACGGTGGTATCAGAATGATGAACAAGATCTTCAATACCAGGAAACAGGAGGTAGGAAAGATTAACAAGCAAGGAAAGGAAACAGCAGAGATACAAACACAGATGCTGTGTTTGAACTGCCACTAGCAGCTACATAATGCTTTTGGCTGAATAAAAAATAATTGGACAGTTCAAAAACATCATGTGATATATTTGGATGACGTTAGTGGGGGAGGAGTCTGTACTCACCTGCAAGTGAGTTCAGACTGTTCTGATCTGCATGTGGAGTTGCTGTCACACCTGAACCAAAAGAAAAACATCAACCAGCGTGATTTGTCCAATTTCAGACATTATTAAATGAAGAGGAAGTCATACCTGAAGGCTCCAGGTGAGAGGGTGCTGTCATGTTACCTGTGATAATTCAGAAACAAAAAGCAAAACAATAATTAACACCAATATCAAACAATCAAAAAAGAACAAACAAACAACAACAACAACAAACCCTAAATCACATCAGAGCCCTTTCCCCCAGCTTTAGTAGTCATGGTTAAGTTCACTAATCAAAGAATCACTTTAAGTGTTTCAGAAAGAAATCAAACCTGGGATGTTAACGTGACCATCTGGACCGAAAGCATCACCACCTAAAAACACAGAAACATTCCACTACAATAAAATACAGAATTATGTTTATTGTGTTTCTTCTTGGCTCAGACATCTGACAGGTATACTGCAAAACGACATTAATGGCTTTTTATCTGTGTCTTGTCTTTATATCTCATGAAAGAGGCTCTCTTTTCATATGAAAATATCACCTGATCAGCAAAATGTTATATTCAGAGTTTTGGTTTGAATCAACCACATTGTCACTGTTTAGTTTTATTTATTTTTATTATTTCCAGCATGTTTTGAGTGTAATAGAGATTCTCTGCCGTGGGAATATGTTTTATATGTGTGGTAAATCATACCATACTCACCAAATGAAGCACAAGCTGTGCACCACATTGTCACAAGAATGTGTTCATGTGATTATTTAGAAAATGTGTGAATATTGTTCTACTTGATTGTGATTTCCTGCTAAGTCTCATCGACGGCAAGAACACCTGTTCAACCAATCACATTCATTCACTCTGATCTGATTTCCATGTCTCCTTCATCAGGCTGTGGGACAGGAAGCCTTTTTTTTTATATATATAATTGTTTATTTTATTTTCACTTGCTACACACGGGACAGACATGACTGGGGGAAAGAAAAGGGAGAATGAAAGAGAGGTAGGGGAAGAGCGAACAGCGGGGAAGAGGAACAGTGATAAAGGGCAAAAAACAAAACAAACAAAACAAACAGACAAAAAATACATATATCAAACAAGCAAAAAAAGGAGAGCAATATAAGCTACCTGCATTTAGCTACCTGCCAGAGAGCAGCAGGTAGCAGGAAGCCTTAATAGATCCAATTTTAGATCTCACAACTAAGGTGCAGCTGTCACCGAGATGTATTTTGTTTTTTTCTTTATAATTGGTCTTATTCTGATTTTAGTGTTTATTTGTGAGTGTGGTTCTGATTATATTTGCATGATTTTATTCTGATATTTGTATTGCATGTTTTTAGTGTTTTTTTTTTTTTTTGCATGCTATTGTTTTAATCCACTGTGGACTCTGGACAGTTAGCAAATAGCAGGCGTCTGTTGAGGTGTGGGTGTGGCCTATCAGCTGGGGAAAGGACTTGTTTAAAGAAAGTTGGCTGAGCAAGGGGAAGGGCCAGATATGACATGGCTATTAGCCAGGTCAGACGATGGTTCTGGCCAGTATGTTTATTTACAGGGCGAAGCAGCGAGCGAGAGACTCGAGTGCGGAGTGCAAGCTGGGTTGTGATGTGGGGTGCCCAGTGGAGGGATGAGGTGGTCCCCACTTCAGAAGAGGAATTCCTCTGTTTAACTTTTACATATAAGGAACATTGGTATTGGGTTGTAGGACAATTGAATTGCTGGACTGTGTGGGATTTTACTGTACAAAGAACATTTTATTGTAGTTTTAAGAATTGTTTTTATTTGTTCTTGGGGGATTTTAGGGTACCAAGAACATTTTATTGCATACGTTTTTTAGAATTTTGTTTGCTTTTATTCCTGCTTTCCACCTCCATGAATAAACTTTTTCTTGTTAGACTTGTAGTCTCTGTGCCCTGGGAATCTGATCCCCTTTTATTTAAAGAACTTCCTGTTACACAATTTGGCTCACCAGTTTTAGTGTCTACAGAAATAAACAGCAGCATTGACCATACTCATAGGTAAAATAATTAGCTGTCATTAAAATATTTTACTGCTCTGTGACATACATCCCCATCTTGCTCTATGTGATATTTTTATATTCTTCCTTGACGTTTTAATCATCATCATCATCATCATCATCTGATAATGTGTCACTCACAAATGACCATGATCTGTGAAATAACCCATTTTGTCTGAGGGCTCTCAGGGAGTGAAGCAGAGAGCCTGGCCTAACAAAGAAGACTAATAATCTGATAATCATTATCTCTGACTGGGGTTTAAGGTTTTATTGAGCCCGCTACTGCAGAGAAAGCCTGTTTGTGTTGAAACTCGCCACATCCCTCTGTGAGTCAGAGCTGGAGCAAAAGACCAAAAGAGTCAGTGTGTATCTGGAATGACCTCAGATTTTATCATCAAATCAAGCTTCAGATTTAAGAAAATTATTGGTTTGTAAAATGAGAGCAGCTGAACTTACCCATCATGCCAAGCAGGAAGTCATGGCTAGATGGCTCTATGGATCCTAAAGGAGAAAAAGTCAATGACAGCTGCTGAGAGATTCCTCCTTAAAGCCATAGAAGTGATCTTTGCCTTTGTAGCACTTAAAAATCTGACTTGGATCTGATGAAGTAAAAGTGATGTCACAGACACCTCACCTGGACACTCACCTGTAAGACCCAGGTGAGAAACGTCACCCTGAAAGAATCCCACAGCATCTGGAAAAGAGAGTTGAACTTAATGTCTCTGAGCTTCTTAAAAAATAGGTTTCACCTGTCTCCCTTGTAGCCCCTCTCCATACCGCGTTACCTGTCTGACTGCCAACTCCACCCCCTCCTCCTCCATTCAGGAGCTTCTGTCCATTACCTCGAAAAAACAAAACAAAACAAGAATTGATAATTTTTTGAAGAGATTGTAAGATCTTTCGTCTGGACTTCTTTAAGTTGCTTGAAGATGTTTCACCTCTCATCCGAGAAGCTTATTCTGTTCTAGAGTCAAATGGTGGAGAGTCCCAGGTTTAAGCCCTGTGGGTGTTTCCCCATGAGAGGGACAATGGCATCTAAAGGACAAAGGTCACTCTTTCGAAGATGCCAATGCCATCTATGTCCACTGTGAACGACCATCCTTGAACAGAGGCGGTGGGTTACGACACCAACTGTCTACCATCTATAATCCAGATCGCTTCCCAGACGCCTTAACGCCCACTCACGTCCTTGGCCATTTGACCTCAGGAAATCACATAATAGGATGGAGCTTGGTTTCACAATGAGCTCACCAAAAACCTTGGCTGATTGTGACCTACACCCGTTTTCACACCTTGGTTCGTGTGATTAGGTAGAGGATCAATAGGGGGTCTGTTGTCCTTCTTGGGGGGACACTCCCACAGGGCTTAACTCTGGGGCTCTCCACCATTTGACCCAAGAACTGAAGAAGCTTCTCGGATGAGAGGTGAAACCTCTTCAAGGAAACTTAAAGAAGTCCAGATGCTTTTCTTTCCAAGCTCCTTAGACTACAATGAACTGAGAATCTTCACAGACATATTGAAAGGTCTTCAACTCAATGATCTATTGATTGGTCTCTGTTTGAGGGATTTGAAAGCTACTTACTGTTGGTCTCTGAGCCAGCTCCTGCAGAACCTGCAGACAAAGAACAGGTTTAAAGATGTGAAGCTTTCTATGCTAAAGGGCTCGTACAGTCAGCTGTTGTGCTGAGCTTAATGAATCAATAATTCTCAAAATGCCAGCAGAGTAATAATTGGACTTACCATTTGTTTCTGTGTGAGATAAAGCAGAGGAATGCTTGTCTCCTTAAAACACAGAAATCATCGATTAACACACCTTCTCATTTAATGGACTATCTTTATTTTTACTATTTTTGCCTTGTAGATACATACTGAAGACATCAAATATGTGAAGCAAGACATATGGAATTATTAAGCAAAGAAAAAAATGATAAATAACTCTAAATATGTCTTATAGTTTAGATTCCTTTGCTTTGTTGACAGTGCTGCAAACCCTTGGCCTTCTCTCAGTGAGCTTCATGAGTAGTCACCTGATATGGGTTTCACTTCACAGGTGTGGCATTTATTGCCTTCTTAATGGGGTTGGGACATTCAGTCATGTTATGCAGCACCTCAGATAAATGCCCACAGTTCCAGAAGCAGACACATCTCTACATCAACTGTTCAGAGGAGACTGTACAAATGAGGTCTTTATGGTCAACAAGCTGCTAAGAAACCACTACTAAGGAAAAGCAACAAGCAGAAAAGATTTGTTTCAGGTCATGAAACACAAGGAATGGACATCAGATGTGTAGAAATCTGCTTTCCTTTGATGAGTCCAAATTTTAGATCTTTAGTTCCACCCGCTGTGAAAGGATGCTCTCTACTACTACTACATGGTTACCACCATGAAGGAAGAGGTGTGATGGTGTGGTGGTGAACCGACCAAAATGACTCCAAGACCGCAGCAACGACTCATTCAAGAGGTCATAAGACCCCAGAACAACTTTCAAAGAACTTCAGGCTTCACGTGCCACAGTTAAGGTTCATGACTCTACAAGACGGGGAAAAAAGAGAGTTCCGAGATGATAACCTCTGCTCACAAATACTGTGGATTAATGAGACAAAAGTTGAACCTTTTGGAAAGGTGTATGTCCAGTACATCTGGCATAAAAGTAACAGAATTTCAGAGAATGAACATCACGCCAACAGTAAAATATGATGCCGGTATGGTGATGGTCTGGGACTGCTTACTGCCTCAGGACCTGGAAGACTTGCTGTGGTAAATGGAACAATGAATTCAGCTGTCTACCAAAACGACCTGAAGGAGGATGTCTGGCCATCTGCTTGTGATCTCAAGCCGAAGTGCAGTTGGGTTCTGCAGCAGGATAATGATCCAAAACACACCAGCAAATCCACCTCTGAATGGCTTAAGAAAAATAAAGCGAAGACTTTAGAGGGGCCTAGTCAAATTTCTGACCTGAATCTGGTTGAGATGAGGGGTGACCTTAAAAAGGTGGTTCAGGCTTGAAAACCCTTCACTGTGGGTGAATTACAACAATTCTGCAAAGATGAGAGGGAAGTCCTCCACAGCATTTATTTCCAGTTATCGCAAACACTAGACTGCAGTTATTACTGCTTAGGTTTTTCCAACCAGTTATTAGGTTTAGGGGGTAATCACTTTTTCACACAGAGCCACATAGGCTTGGATTTGTTTCCCCCTAATGTAAAGCCCTTAATTCTTGTGTTTACGTTTTTGTAATGTCATGATGCCATTTGATGATGATTTCAGTGTTTTGACATGAAGTTTTGTTCCATCCAAATGCATACAGGTCGCATATAGTTATTGACTGCACCCTGTTTGCTCTTCAAAATAAAAGTCCACATATCTGCCATTTTTTAAAAAGCCCAGGCTGTTTACCTGCAGAATGGATCAAAGCTGTGGAAACATCAGAGATCTCAGCTGCTGCAGAACCTGTAACAACAGGAGCAGTTTTAGCTTCTAAATACAAAAAAAGTAAAATGGTCAGATGTTCAAAGCCCTTACAGACCGTGCAATGAACTTATGTCTTGAGCACAGGAAGCATTGTCTAACACTTCCATGTGAGAATGTTTCCAGTAATGGTGGCCAAGTGTGTATCAGAGCAAGACAAAGAGATCCTGGCCATGAATTCTGAGTAGAAAAAAACAACTGGTGTTGCAATATTAGTATTGAAAAATCCCAACACAGGATTGTAGAGAACCACTGATGGTGAGTACAGCCCAATTACATTCTGGATGATGGTGAAATGGTGTGGCCAGCCATGCGATTGGATTGTGGGAGATCTCTGAAGGGCTGAGTCAAGCTATTCCTTGGGATTCAGATGTTTTATTAGTCCTATCCGGGTAGTAGATGGGTAGTTGTGCTTTAAAGCACTGCTTTGAAGGGACACACACGTCCTTACAGGCACTGCTTTTTGGGTCACAAGGAACGTTAAAAGACAATTCAGACTGGACTTCTGTCATTCTACAACAGGAAGACTTTATTTTGTTTTATTAATTTCATTTAATTTCATTTCTCCTTTTATTTTGTTTGTTTTACACCTATGAAGAGCAGGTGTTATTTTCCAGGTTGTGTGACTGTGTACTGTGTATTGTTTATGAGCTTTCCTAAGGTAACAAGTTCCCAGTTGTTCACTTCAGTGATGACTTTTTTCCTGAGACCCTAAAATCAAAACCTCCTTCCAAACCTACGTAGATATTTGGAGTCTGTGTTGAAATTGATATTGCAGTACAATAAGAGGTGGCTGTAGCTCAGGAGATAGAGCAGGTCACCTACTAATAGGGAGCTTGGTCGTTTGAGCCTTGTCTGATCCAGTCTGCATGCAAATACAGGCCAAAGACATTTGCCAAGATATTAACCCCACTTGAGAGCAACCAAGAGTATAAATATGTGTGAATGTTAGATAGAAACACTTACATAGGAATAGCATAAGTAAAAAGTGCTTATGAGAATGGATGAATGGGACAAGTTGTAGAACCTGCTTTGTGCTCAGAGTAGAAAAACGCTATAGAATCCATCTAATCTTTACTGGTCCTGAGTAGAGGCACTACACTGTATTGATGTAGCAAAATGACTGGATAGTTCAACCGTTGTAAAGAGGTTGGAGTGTAACATGTCTCTTAAAAGTATTAAATTGCCACACAGATTTCTGTGCGATCCTTTAAGTAGGGAGTGTTTCCACTGATGAGACTGTAACCTAACAAAAGTCAGAGAAGTGATCAGAGCAGAGTGACTGAAATCTGATTACCATTCAAATCAAACATTTTACTGTCTAAGATGTTCATATTTGTCATCGCGTTTCTCTCTGGATGAGATTCACCTGGTTTACCTGCTGAGCTTCCGGCTGTTCCTTCATGTGTTCTTCCCCCTGCTGTTTGACCACTGGAAGCTGAAAATAAACATCATTTTTAAACAAGTATATTTGCTCTCAGACCGTAGAGTTAGAATGGAAGTAGAATAGAAGGCAGAGCCTTCTGCTTTCAGGCCCCTCTTCTGTGAAACCAGCAACCAGTTTGGATTCAGGAGACAGACACCCTGTCTATTTTTAAGATTAGGCTTAAAACTTTCCTCTTTGATAATGGAAATAGTCAGTTGAGCCTGACTGCTAGTTATGTTATAATAGCCTCAGATTGCTGGGGGCTTCCCATGATGCAGTTTCTGGGATTTGACGTTGAGTGTTTTTTCTAATGATAACTGTCAGGGTGTACAGCAGGCTCTGAGAAAAACAGTAAACCGTCATGAATTTTCAACTCTTACTTATTTTGTTTCGTGAACCTTAGTTTAACAACTAAATGTCAGAGAAGCTCTGTTTTCTATGACTACACAAGGTCCCAAAGCCAAAAGCCTAACACAGAACACAGAAATATCAGTAATATTTCAATCAAATAAGAGAATGTCTCTCAATAAAGTTGGGATAGACTCTGATAAGCTATCAGCATTCTGTACTTTTCTCTAACATCTTCAAGAAACTATACATTTAGCTGAACTTACCACTTAGATCCTGAATGTCAGAGGAGACACCTGCAGAGAAAATACACCTGAGTCAAACCACGCATGTCACCAAAAACTCATCTTCATGTTTTCTTGCTGAAAAACACATTTATAATCTTTACTTCCATAAAAAAGAAGCACGATTTTATCATAAAACATTTACATTTCTTCCTCAATATTCGCTTGTGTGAAATACAAAAACTAAATATTATTTTTCAGTACTTTCTAACATAATGGTGATTTCATATTTCTTTTAAAAATGAACAGTCTGGGAGCGCTAGTTTGGCTCAATGCATGGAGCGGGCAACCACATGCCATACTACTGAGAGCTGGCCTGGGTTTGAGTCCGACCCACGGCCACATGCCTTCTTCCTTCTCTCTCTGCTCCTGCCTTCCTGTCTTCTCTTCACTGTGTTTATCAAATAAAGCTAAAAAATGAACAGGCAGTAGATTATTACAGTTAGCTGAAATTAGACTGTACACAGCTACATATGAATATAAGAAACACAAACTAAGAGTTTTAGTCTCTCAAAGACTGCAGAGACTTCACTTCTTGTGTTTAGTAACATATTTGCTACTTTTGCTTTTGCAGAGTTTGTCCTGTACGTGATGCTGTGGTTCTGGACATCCTGCAGTAACCTGAGGAGCTCAGGAAGTGGACTAGACCCATTCAGGGTAATCCTGGTCTGAAAAGCAGCCAGTTAATCTGGATTAAACCTGAGACCAGTTGGAACAAACAAAAAAACTATTCAGGAAGGAAAAACCTGATCAGGTCTACTCACCTGAACCCCCAGCAGCCCCCACTGCCACCACCGTTGCCGTGGTGGTCCGCTGCCCACCAAATGCTCCTGCAGGAGGGGGAGGAGCAAACTGTCAGGTGTTCGGCATGAATGAAGCTTGTGTTTCCAGATATTATTATAAACCTAAAGGCATCATTTGAGCTTCATTCTGTGACACATTTAGATAAGACTGAAAAACATATATTACACACAGATTTTTAAAGAGATGTTTATAAGGTTCTCACGTCACGTTCATTTAAACAACAGTCTGATGTTTGAACTTTTCATTTCTTTGTGTTTATGCAGGTTTATAAGATAATACTACAGGGCAAAGGTCACAGTGTGTTTTGCCTCTCACCCCCAATCTTATCTTGACTCTTGGAGTCATCATCATCTGGAAAGAGAAGACATCCAACATTTATGTCTAATTAGAAGTTTTAAACAAATGTCACACTTCTCTGTTTTAGTGTCTTTTTATTTCTGCTCTGACTTTTGACCTCTGACTCCTTCTACCTTTCCCCTATGCGCGTATGTCACCTAGCTTAGCATTAACACATGTGCTGCACTCACTGCTTCACGAAGATTTATGATTTCTAATATTTCATTTACTGGACAGAGGCCACGCATCCTACAGGAGTTACACTGAAATTAATTCAGTCAAACACAAACAAATTAACAATAAACAAAGAAAACCTATATTATCTTGACCCGGATGTAGTGATTTGTGTCAGTAAAAACATTTTAGTACACAAATGAGAGATAGGTGATGTTCTGAGGACTGAGTACTGTGAAAAAGCTGTTGGATTTTGTCATTTTTCCCTCAAAAACAGCAAACACCACCTTCTCCAAACCTTCACTGTCAGCCCTACAGTCTCACACCCACTCTACTTTGAACAGGGACCCGAAGAGGGGTCATTGAGAATGTCTCACACACATTTACTCACCCAAACAAACCCCAAGAACCAACACCAGGTAATATTTGGCAAACACTGATTACCTAAGGTTATGTCATGGTTATATAGTGTTTCATTAATAAAGAAAGAATCTCACTGCCTGAAGAGTTATTTTAAAAAGCTTTGTGACTGAAATGTGTGACATGTTTGTGTCTTTATGATAAGTTTAAACCGGTTTGAAAAGATCACAGACGATGATGCTGTTGTTCACTCTGAGGTTTGTGTGAGGGTCAGGTTCCATTCGTGTGACCTCAGTTTGGTTTCATTTTGTCATCAGTATAAACTCTGAGTTTATGCTTCATGAACAATTTGACACGAATCTGCTTTTCACGATAAAAGCTGGCTTCTCTCACACACACAAGGCCTACCCTCCTCCTCCTCGGACACCTCCCCCTCCTCTGTGGCCTCAACCTCCACCTCCTCCAGCTCCTTCTCTGGAAGACACACAGAAAGTCTTCTCTCCAAACAGAAATAATAAAATGAAATAAGATACAAAACATAGCTTCTCTTTTTTTTACCCTCCAAGGGAGCGGTAGAAACTGCTGTTGTCAAAAAGACGGCCATGGACATGATCAATAGATTTCTGTTGTGACAGAGGAGATTAATCAGTACTGACCAACACTGTCAGAATCAGCCTCACATACACTCATCAATAAGATACAGGGACAATACAATAATCAGCACCAATAAACCTCATCAATGATCATTAGTAATGAGTTCATTTCTGCTGAAATCAATCAATACACAAACCGCTGTCAATATAATCAATACCATCACCACGTGGAATGAGGATGGCTGAACTCTGATTGGATCAAAAAACAAGAAACTTTTTTAGTGATCTGATTGGACAAATGAGCTGACAGTCAAAAACAGTCAGTAATAATCTGCATCCAGTCAGGATGAAGTAATACCAATGATTTCATGAAGCACAGCAGAACTGCAAAAGTACTAAAGTATTACAACACCGACATGCAGCAGTGTTTGTTGTATAGTGCAGTTATAGTAGCACTAGCACAAGTCATATGAGTAACAGCAGTCTTCACAGTATAAAGTGTATTATTATTAGTAGTTGTAATAGTAGACTATTAATACTACTGCAGTAAAAATGCGGTGATATTATTAGTGTTAGCAGTATAATGGTTGTGGCAATAGAAGCAGTTTAAAATGCAGTAGCATTAGTAGTTTTATCAATGTTAAGTGCATTATTATTATTATTATTAATATTATTAATACTATTGTTAGTAGCAGTAGTATCAAAAGTATATAGTGCAGTAGAAACAGTTTTGGTAGTACAAGCACAGGAGGATAACAGTATAACAAGAATAAAATGAAGGAGTAGTCATCAATAGCTTTGTGTAGAGCAGTATTATTATTTTAAAATGCAGTAATATTAGTAGTATCACTCATGCTGGTATCTTTAGCAGTACATAGAGTAACATTTGTAGTAATAGTAGTATTGCAAATACTCACGCTGGCAGCATGTTGCTGTGTGACAGGTGTGTGCTGAGCTAAAGAGACGCACCTGAAGAGCTGCAGCTCCTCCTTCAACCACTCGTATTTATACTCAGACAGGAAGGGAGGGGCTGCTCATGTTATCTATGAAAATACTGCAAATACGACTGAGACTAAAACTACTAGATCATGTACTGGTTCTTATATGAATGTTACTTTCCTGGTCCTCACTGGCCCTGAAATCCATCCCATTTTGCACTGGAGTAGGGTTCAACAGCAGGTGACCCATCCTAACCAGGTGATGTTCAGGTCTGCCCCTGGAGGTTACCTTAGATTAGACAGGTAGAAATTGTTGCTAACTTCCAGTCAAACATATTGATTACACAATCAAGTGAAAACAAGTGAACTGTAACTACTGTGACTCATGTGACCTGCTGGTCACCTGTTACCTGCAAAACCCACCTTCAAATCACTCCACTACATCTCAGGCTTGTTAGTTACTCTGAAGTCTGTGTTTGTGTTAACTGGCAGCTATAATGAGCCAATCAGAGCTTTGTAGGCAGGGTTAAGAGCAGGAATGACATCATCCAGGGACACACGTCTGATCTGGGAGGATGTGTCATTCAATTTCGGATTCAATTATGAGTAGCTCAAAAAAAATTACGACTAGCTCTGACATCATGTAGGAATCAAAAGCTGATTGGCCAAACCAGCTAACTTCACCGTGACGCATAATGAACCATTCATCCATCCATTTTCCTCCACATATTCAACTCATGGTGAACCAAAAAAAATTGTTATGAAGGGGGCTTCCACCCTGTCAATGTGTCACAAGGACGACAGAGATTCTGTCGTTAGTGTCTGTGCTTATTGCATCGTAATCATTATTACACAGGAAACTCCTCTGTTAAAGTGGAGCAGTAAAAACATGCCATGAACTGGATTTTCAGCCTATTGTGGTCATGAACGCAAAACAATAAATTAAAGACATTAAAAAGTCAGGGACCAATGTGCATGTCAAATCATTTTGAAGCAGCTGTGTTTTCTGTTTGTTTTCTATGTACAAATAAAGAAATGATAAAACTTTCCACAACTATAGACACTTTATAAAACCTTAAAGGCCATATAACCTTCAACCCCCCTTCTCCCAGGGTTTCAGCTTTCAACTCTAATTAATTTCTTGGTTAAAACAGACTTGTATTGTTGGACTGAAAGATGAGAGTGGTCTCTCTGCTGCCAAGCTGAGCTGAGACCCCAGCTGACCTGCAGTCTTACAGTTTTTCACCACCTCTAAGACACTTTTCAGAAACCATCCACTCTGTTCTTAAAACTGAACACAAATACAGATTTTGTATTCTGATTCTGAACACAATAGCTTTATCTGTTTTTAAGATCATACAGCCCCCTTTGATTCAAGGCAGAAATGCAGCAGACAAAAAAAGTTTAAAAAGCGAGGTTCAATCTGGTCTCCTCTGTGAGCCCAGCTGTAGAGGAAGTCCCTTTTAATGCAGATTTCTGGAAAAAAGCGGTATTAGTTTTTCACCGATGATAAGACACATTCTTAGAAACCTTTATACAAATAATATCAGATTTATGAAAGCACATTAAAAACAAAATCTCCTCAAACAAAGAAGCCATCAGCTCAAGCCATACAGAGTCTGTGAGAAACAGACAGACAGTTCTTAAACTGATTTTATATCACTGCATGTTGTTGTCCACAGCATGTCTTTTGTTTTTTCTTCCTCTCCCCCAACTGGTTGTGGGAGATGGCTGCCCCTCCATAGCCTGCTGGAAGTATTTTTTTCTGTTAAAAGGGCATTTTTTTCTTCCCACTGTCGCCAAAGTGCTTCGCATTAGGGGATCTTATGACTGTTGGGTTTTTCTCTGTATGTATTATAGTAGGGTCTACCTTACAATATAAAGCACCTTGAGGCAACTGTTGAAATGTTGACCTGAGCTTCATCTGAATGACTGAGCCCCTGTCGTCACCACCAAGCCTCAGCCCAGACAAACAGAGCCAATGGCTACACCATCACAGACCAGTACCTTGTCCATATCACTGCACTTGCCACATGATCTACTTGTTAGTCTCCCGACCCTAAGTTCCTTAAAGTCCTTCAACTGGGGCAGCAAATAATGCCCGACCTAGATTTGGGCATTATCAGGTTTTTCTACAACCAATTACTATAGGAAAAAATCAGAGACAAGCTCCTGTGGAGACTCTCCACCATGTAGTTATCCCCAGAAATCCTGTTCATAAAAGTTGTGAGCACACATAGTGGTGGCGTTTCAGTTTCTTCATTTTTTTCTCTATAGAAGTTAGCTTTGTGTTGATGAACACTGTTGGATGATGAAGGAATGCAAGATCTGAAAGTCACATTGCATTTCCTAAGTCACATATAGGCGTACTAAAAATTCTCTAATACCCTGTGTATTTTTAGACATAACTGTTCCCCATGTTTACATGGATTTTATTATAATATTTGTTCTTCTGATGTGTGCCTATGTCCAGAAGAGTGCATTATAACCACTGAACAGTTAGTCTTGTGTTGAAGAGTACCGACCCTGAAGTAGGAGCTACTCCACAAACAGGGTCTCTGGAAATTACTAGTTCCTACCATGCAGACAAAAAAAAAAGGGGGGGGGGGGGAACTTCCTGTAAGTCTTATAAGGTCTTGTTCCTCCCATCCAAACAAGCCTATATGAACTATAAGGCTACAGGGGCTCCCTTCTTGGCGCAGAGCACAGCTTTGACCTAACCTTTGATCCTTCCTCACAGGGACCTCTGCAGACCTGTTCACAGAGCATGTCGGAGGAGACAGTGGATGGTGGAAACTGTGGACTATATGAACACTGAAAACCTATCGCTGCAGGGAGGATGTAGGAGTTACCCATCTTCTTTAATGAATCTCATGCACGACGGCCACAGAAACTCTTTACACAACCTTTGCAATCCTTGGATTATTGGAGACAGATATAATTAAAATGCCTGCTACATGTCCCATTACTGTTCTTGATCTTTTCATCTTCTCTCTCCCCCCTCTTCATTTTCTTTCTCTTGTTTCCATACATGAACAGCTTCAACCGTCTGCCACTCCTGCTACTTTTTGACTGAGAAGAGTCTCAATTTAAAAAGAAGAAGAAGAAGAAGAAGAAGAAGAAGAAGAAATACATTTAAGGTTTTGAAGATAAATATTTCAGTTGTAGAGCTCATGAACTTCAAACAACATGTTTTCCAAACTGGACTCTGAGTCGCTAACTTACAAGATGATACTGGTCCTGATGGAATCTGATAGTCATAATGTGAATAACCTGCTGAGAGATAAGAACTGGATGGATTTCTGTCTGAAATGCTGGAGATCAACTTTCATTTAGAAAGAGAGCAGTTTGTTTTTTCATCTTCTCAGCTTGAAGTCTCTTTCTGTGTTCAGGCTCAGAGGATGTATAGAAAGGAGGCTTTATTGAAGCGATACAGAGCTGCAGAGAAAAGCTGCCAACATTCCTTCGAACTACATCTGTGACCTTCTCCTCCTCCTCCTGTGAAACTGACTCCATTCATTTATTTTTTGTGTGCATGAATACAGCAAGACAGTACAAACAAGCCTCATTCTGAAAATGTTGCAGGAAACAGACATCACATCGCCTTATCCTGAAGTGACATAAAGCTGTAACAGTGTAAACTGCTCCCACCTTGTGGACAAATGACTTCTCGAGCCTGAAAACTACAATTCTGAATAAAAGCAGCAGGACATCTGCAGCTCTTCTAACACTTTCCCACTGAAACATGGAACAACTGGGTCTGCACAATGAAGATATTTGGTAGAGGTCACCGGCAATCCTCTCACATCATGTTTTGCCTTAGTTTCTCTGATTGGGTTCACACTCTGCCAGCCCAAATTCAGGGAATAAAGATAAATATATTAATAATAAAACAGTGGGAAAAGTTAAATTGATCCACAGAGGATCTACTTGTTTAATAATCTGCAAAATTTTTATTTAAACGTTCGATTTTGGGATATTTTGCTTCAGTGTATCAAAGTTTTTAAAGGTTCATCCATTTTTTGGATTCTAGGGTCATGGTGGGTGGTACCTGTCCCAGCTGTGATAGGGTGAAAGGTGGGGTACACCTGCATAGGCATTGGACTATGACAGGGGTTTCTGTGAAAAAATATTATTATTATTGTGACTACTATTAATATTTATCATGAAAATCAAATGTATCGGTATTTAAATACTTTTAATAAACTTTAATAAGTCTTCACAAGCTTTTTCTCCTGTCTGCAGTGACATTAAGCAGCTTTGAACTAATACAAGCTCAGCACAAGCAATACTCACTGGAACACACTAGAACACACTAGAACATATTAGGACTAGGGTTCTATTGAATCCATGATTTCATTTTTACACATTTTTGTGCATAATGCATAAAAACAAAGCTGACCTCCTACTTCATGGGAGGTGTGAGCATCACAGCAGATGCCTTTGTGTCAAAGTAACTAAGGATAAAACACAGAAAAACATGAAGGAGATTTTCCTGGCCTGGCTTTTTATAACCATCTTAAAAGTAGAACAAAAAGGGAAGAAAACTGCGAATCAGCATACGAACATTACCTGATGCTGCTGAAATGAAGCAGGGCCAAGTTAAAGAGGTTTTATTAGAGAGATAGTAAGCATTTTGCAATTTGGCAAGATTTGTAAAAGTTTAAATTTCTTCAGGATTGAACAGCAGATCATTTATGAAAAAACAAACAAACAGAGGCTGACAGCACTATACACAACGGTAGACGGTGCGTAACAAGCAAGCTAATAATGCAGAAAACTGAGATTTTTAGTACAAGAGAAGGAAAATGAAGTACAGAAAGAGCTGTGTAGGAAGTGTGATTTTATTGTGGTGGAAGCAAGAATACCAAAGTAAGAGGGAATGATCTGTTTTAACTGTTTGACGGTTGTTGAAATAGTTTTGTGAGCTTTAACCTGAGATTAACCTGTGTTTGTGGCAAAATATATCTATATTTAAAAATGGATTCAGCCTTTAATGAATTAATATCACATTATTCAAACTAAAATC